CACCCACTCACCACCCACTCATCACCACACACTCACCACTAACCCCACCACTCACCCACTCACTCACCCACTCACCTACCTCACTCACCCCGCTCACGTCACCCACTCACGTCGCTCGCTCACATCACGTCACTCACTCACCCACTCACTCACACACTCACACCACTCACTCACCCACTCCCTCACCCATCATCACCACACACTCACTCACTCACCCACTCACCCACTCACTCACCCACTCACTCACTCACTCACTCACCCACTCACTCACCCACACACTCACCCACACACTCACCCACTCACTCACCCACTCACTCACCCACTCACCCACCCACACACTCACTCACCCACTCACTCACCCACACACTCACCCACTCACTCACCCACACACTCACCCACTCACCCACCCACACACTCACCCACTCACCCACCCACACACTCACTCACCCACTCACTCACCCACTCACCCACTCACTCACCCACTCACTCACCCACACACTCACCCACACACTCACCCACACACTCACTCACCCACACACTCACCGACTCACTCACCCACACACTCACCGACTCACTCACCCACACACTCACCCACACACTCACCCACACACTCACCCACACACTCACTCACCCACACACTCACCCACCCACTCACCCACTCACTCACCCACTCACTCGCTCACTCACCCGCTCACTCACCCACTCACTCGCTCGCTCACTCACTCACTCACCCACTCACTCACCCACTCACCCACTCACTCACCCACTCACTCACCCACTCATCACCCACACACTCACTCACCCACCCACTCACCCACTCACTCACCCACTCACTCGCTCACTCACTCACCCACTCACTCACCCACACACTCACCCACACACTCACCCACTCACTCACCCACTCACTCACCCACTCACCCACCCACCCACACACTCACTCACCCACTCACTCACCCACACACTCACCGACTCACTCACCCACACACTCACCCACTCACCCACCCACCCACACACTCACCCACTCACCCACCCACACACTCACTCACCCACTCACTCACCCACTCACCCACTCACTCACCCACTCACTCACCCACACACTCACCCACACACTCACCCACACACTCACTCACCCACACACTCACCGACTCACTCACCCACACACTCACCGACTCACTCACCCACACACTCACCCACACACTCACCCACACACTCACCCACACACTCACTCACCCACACACTCACCGACTCACTCACTAGCTCTTCGTCCGTTGACCGAGTAACTTGCCCCTCCCCTCCCACTCTCCCCCCCCCCCCCCACACTCCCCTCCCCCCCCAACCTCCCCCACCCTCCCCCCCCACTCCCCCTACCCTCCCCCCCCACTCCCCCCACCCTCCCCCCCCACTCCCCCTACCCTCCCCCCCCACTCCCCCTACCCTCCCCCCCCACTCCCCCTACCCTCCCCCCCCACTCCCCCCACCCTCCCTCCCCCCACCCTCCCCCCTCACACTCCCCCCCCCACCCTCCCCCCACCCCCCCACCCAGCCTGGCCTGTCTCTGCCACTCGCTGCACTTTGCCAAGCGCCTGCTGGAGACGGTCTTTGTCCACCGCTTCTCGCACGGAACGATGCCTCTACGGAACATCTTCAAGGTGCCACCCCGCGGGAGATGTTGACCACCTCGCCTGGTCTACAGGAGGTCGTGGTAGATGTTGACCACCTCGCCTGGTCCACAGGAGGTCGTGGTAGACGTTGACCACCACGCCTGGTCTACAGGAGGTCGTGGTAGATGTTGACTACCTCGCCTGGTCTACAGGAAGTCGTGGTAGATGTTGACCACCTCGCCTGGTCTACAGGAGGTCGTGGTAGATGTTGACCACCTCGCCTGGTCTACAGGAGGTCGTGGTAGACGTTGACCACCTCGCCTGGCCTACAGGAGGTCGTGGTAGATGTTGACCACCTCGCCTGGTCTACAGGAGTTCGTGGTAGACGTTGACCACCTCGCCTGGTCTACAGGAGGTCGTGGTAGATGTTGACCACCTCGCCTGGTCTACAGGAGGTCGTGGTAGACGTTGACCATCTCGCCTGGTCTACAGGAGGTCGTGGTAGATGTTGACCACCTCGCCTGGTCTACAGGAGGTCGTGGTAGATGTTGATCACCTTGCCTGGTCTACAGGAGGTCGTGGTAGATGTTGACCACCTCGCCTGGTCTACTGGAGGTCGTGGTAGATGTTGACTACCTCGCCTGGTCCACAGGAGGTCGTGGTAGATGTTGACCACCTCGCCTGGTCTACAGGAGGTCGTGGTAGATGTTGACTACCTCGCCTGGTCTACAGGAGATCGTGGTAGACGTTGACCACCTCGCCTGGTCTACAGGAGGTCGTGGTAGATGTTGACTACCTCGCCTGGTCTACAGGAGGTCGTGGTAGACGTTGACCACCTCGCCTGGTCTACAGGAGGTCGTGGTAGATGTTAACTACCTCGCCTGGTCTACAGGAAGTCGTGGTAGATGTTGACCACCTCGCCTGGTCTACAGGAGGTCGTGGTAGATGTTGACCACCTCGCCTGGTCTACAGGAGGTCGTGGTAGATGTTGACCACCTCGCCTGGTCTACAGGAGGTCGTGGTAGACGTTGACCACCTCGCCTGGTCTACAGGAGGTCGTGGTAGACGTTGACCACCTCGCCTGGTCTACAGGAGGTCGTGGTAGATGTTGACCACCTCGCCTGGTCTACAGGAGGTCGTGGTAGATGTTGACCACCTCGCCTGGTCTACAGGAGGTCGTGGTAGATGTTGACCACCTCGCCTGGTCTACTGGAGGTCGTGGTAGATGTTGACTACCTCGCCTGGTCCACAGGAGGTCGTAGTAGATGTTGACCACCTCGCCTGGTCTACAGGAGGTCGTGGTAGACGTTGACCACTTCACCTGGTCTACAGGAGGTCGTGGTAGACGTTGACCACCTCGCCTGGTCTACAGGAGGTCGTGGTAGACGTTGACCACTTTGCCTGGTCTACAGGAGGTCGTGGTAGATGTTGACCACCTCGCCTGGTCTACAGGAGGTCGTGGTAGATGTTGATCACCTCGCCTGGTCTACAGGAGGTCGTGGTAGATGTTGATCACCTCGCCTGGACTACAGGAGGTCGTGGTAGACGTTGACCACCTCGCCTGGACTACAGGAGGTCGTGGTAGACGTTGACCACCTCGCCTGGTCTACAGGAGGTCGTGGTAGATGTTGACTACCTCGCCTGGTCTACAGGAGATCGTGGTAGACGTTGACCACCTCGCCTGGTCTACAGGAGGTCGTGGTAGACGTTGACCACCTCGCCTGGTCTACAGGAGGTCGTGGTAGATGTTGACTACCTCGCCTGGTCTACAGGAGGTCGTGGTAGATGTTGACTACCTCGCCTGGTCTACAGGAGGTCGTGGTAGATGTTGACTACCTCGCCTGGTCTACAGGAGGTCGTGGTAGATGTTGACTACCTCGCCTGGTCTACAGGAGGTCGTGGTAGACGTTGACTACCTCGCCTGGTCTACAGGAGGTCGTGGTAGACGTTGACCACCTCGCCTGGTCTACAGGAGGTCGTGGTAGACGTTGACCACCTCGCCTGGTCTACAGGAGGTCGTGGTAGATGTTGACTACCTCGCCTGGTCTACAGGAGGTCGTGGTAGATGTTGACTACCTCGCCTGGTCTACAGGAGGTCGTGGTAGATGTTGACTACCTCGCCTGGTCTACAGGAGGTCGTGGTAGATGTTGACCACCTCGCCTGGTCTACAGGAGGTCGTGGTAGACGTTGACCACCTCGCCTGGTCTACAGGAGGTCGTGGTAGACGTTGACCACCTCGCCTGGTCTACAGGAGGTCGTGGTAGACGTTGACCACCTCGCCTGGTCTACAGGAGGTCGTGGTAGACGTTGACCACCTCGCCTGGTCTACAGGAGGTCGTGGTAGACGTTGACCACCTCGCCTGGTCTACAGGAGGTCGTGGTAGACGTTGACCACCTCGCCTGGTCTACAGGAGGTCGTGGTAGACGTTGACCACCTCGCCTGGTCTACAGGAGGTCGTGGTAGACGTTGACCACCTCGCCTGGTCTACAGGAGGTCGTGGTAGACGTTGACCACCTCGCCTGGTCTACAGGAGGTCGTGGTAGACGTTGACCACCTCACCTGGTCTACAGGAGGTCGTGGTAGACGTTGACCACCTCGCCTGGTCTACAGGAGGTCGTGGTAGATGTTGACTACCTCGCCTGGTCTACAGGAGGTCGTGGTAGATGTTGACTACCTCGCCTGGTCTACAGGAGGTCGTGGTAGACGTTGACTACCTCGCCTGGTCTACAGGAGGTCGTGGTAGAGGTTGACCACCTCGCCTGGTCTACAGGAGGTCGTGGTAGACGTTGACCACCTCGCCTGGTCTACAGGAGGTCGTGGTAGACGTTGACCACCTCGCCTGGTCTACAGGAGGTCGTGGTAGACGTTGACCACCTCGCCTGGTCTACAGGAGGTCGTGGTAGACGTTGACCACCTCGCCTGGTCTACAGGAGGTCGTGGTAGACGTTGACCACCTCGCCTGGTCTACAGGAGGTCGTGGTAGACGTTGACCACCTCGCCTGGTCTACAGGAGGTCGTGGTAGACGTTGACCACCTCGCCTGGTCTACAGGAGGTCGTGGTAGACGTTGACCACCTCGCCTGGTCTACAGGAGGTCGTCGTAGACGTTGACCACCTCGCCTGGCCTAGAGGAGGTCGTGGTAGACGTTGACCACCTAGCATGGCCTACAGGAGGTCGTGGTAGACGTTGACCACCTCGCCTGGTCTACAGGAGGTCGTGGTAGATGTTGACCACCTCGCCTGGTCTACAGGAGGTCGTGGTAGACGTTGACCATCTCGCCTGGTGTACAGGAGGTCGTGGTAGATGTTGACCACCTCGCCTGGTCGACAGGAGGTCGTGGTAGATGTTGACCACCTCGCCTGGTCTACAGGAGGTCGTGGTAGACGTTGACCATCTCGCCTGGTGTACAGGAGGTCGTGGTAGATGTTGACCACCTCGCCTGGTCTACAGGAGGTCGTGGTAGATGTTGACCACCTCGCCTGGTCTACAGGAGGTCGTGGTAGACGTTGACCACCTCGCCTGGTCTACAGGAGGTCGTGGTAGACGTTGACCACCTCGCCTGGTCTACAGGAGGTCGTGGTAGACGTTGACCACCTCGCCTGGTCTACAGGAGGTCGTGGTAGTTGTTGACCACCTCGCCTGGTCTACAGGAGGTCGTGGTAGACGTTGACCACCTCGCCTGGTCTACAGGAGGTCGTGGTAGTTGTTGACCACCTCGCCTGGTCTACAGGAGGTCGTGGTAGACTTTTACCACCTCGCCTGGTCTACAGGAGGTCGTGGTAGACGTTGACCACCTCGCCTGGTCTACAGGAGGTCGTGGTAGATGTTGACCACCTCGCGTGGTCTACAGGAGGTCGTGGTAGATGTTGACCACCTCGCCTGGTCTACAGGAGGTCGTGGTAGACGTTGACCACCTCGCCTGGTCTACAGGAGGTCGTGGTAGACGTTGACCACCTCGCCTGGTCTACAGGAGGTCGTGGTAGACGTTGACCACCTCGCCTGGTCTACAGGAGGTCGTGGTAGTTGTTGACCACCTCGCCTGGTCTACAGGAGGTCGTGGTAGACGTTGACCACCTCGCCTGGTCTACAGGAGGTCGTGGTAGTTGTTGACCACCTCGCCTGGTCTACAGGAGGTCGTGGTAGACTTTTACCACCTCGCCTGGTCTACAGGAGGTCGTGGTAGACGTTGACCACCTCGCATAGTCTACAGGAGGTCGTGGTAGACGTTGACCACCTCGCCTGGTCTACAGGAGGTCGTGGTAGACGTTGACCACCTCGCCTGGTCTACAGGAGGTCGTGGTAGACGTTGACCACCTCGCCTGCTCTACAGGAGGTCGTGGTAGATGTTGACCACCTCGCCTGATCTACAGGAGGTCGTGGTAGATGTTGACCGCCTCGCCTGGTCTACAGGAGGTCGTGGTAGATGTTGACTACCTCGCCTGGTCTACAGGAGGTCGTGGTAGATGTTGACCACCTCGCCTGGTCTACAGGAGGTCGTGGGTTCAATCCCTGACACCACAGTGGCTAGGGGAGATGTTGACCACCTCGCCTGGTCTACAGGAGGTCGTGGTAGATGTTGACCACCTCGCCTGGTCTACAGGAGGTCGTGGTAGACGTTGACCACCTCGCCTGGTCTACAGGAGGTCGTGGTAGACGTTGACCACCTCGCCTGTTCTACAGGAGGTCGTGGTAGATGTTGACCACCTCGCCTGGTCTACAGGAGGTCGTGGTAGACGTTGACCACCTCGCCTGGTCTACAGGAGGTCGTGGTAGACGTTGACCACCTCGCCTGTTCTACAGGAGGTCGTGGTAGATGTTGACCACCTCGCCTGGTCTACAGGAGGTTGTGGTAGATGTTGACCACCTCGTCTGGTCTACAGGAGGTCGTGGTAGACGTTGACCACCTCGCCTGTTCTACAGGAGGTCGTGGTAGACGTTGACCACCTCGCCTGGTCTACAGGAGGTCATGGTAGATGTTGACCACCTCGCCTGGTCTACAGAAGGTCGTGGTAGACGTTGACCACCTCGCCTGGTCTACAGGAGGTCGTGGTAGACGTTGACCACCTCGCCTGGTCTACAGGAGGTCGTGGTGGACGTTGACCACCTCGCCTGGTCTACAGGAGGTCGTGGTAGATGTTGACCACCTCGCCTGGTCTACAGGAGGTCGTGGTAGATGTTGACCACCTCGCCTGGTCTACAGGAGGTCGTGGTAGATGTTGACCACCTCGCCTGGTCTACAGGAGGTCGTGGTAGATGTTGACCACCTCGCCTGGTCTACAGGAGGTCGTGGTAGACATTGACCACCTCGCCTGGTCTACAGGAGGTCGTGGTGGACGTTGACCACCTCGCCTGGTCTACAGGAGGTCGTGGTAGATGTTGACCACCTCGCCTGGTCTACAGGAGGTCGTGGTAGATGTTGACCACCTCGCCTGGTCTACAGGAGGTCGTGGTAGATGTTGACCACCTCGCCTGGTCTACAGGAGGTCGTGGTGGACGTTGACCACCTCGCCTGGTCTACAGAAGGTCGTGGTAGATGTTGACCACCTCGCCTGGTCTACAGGAGGTCGTGGTAGATGTTGACTACCTCGCCTGGTCTACAGGAAGTCGTGGTAGATGTTGACTACCTGGCCTGGTCCACAGGAGGTCGTGGTAGACGTTGACTACCTCACCTGGTCTACAGGAGGTCGTGGTAGATGTTGACCACCTCGCCTGGTCTACAGGAGGTCGTGGTAGACGTTGACTACCTCGCCTGGTCTACAGGAGGTCGTGGTAGATGTTGACCACCTCGCCTGGTCTACAGGAGGTCGTGGTAGACGTTGACCACCTCGCCTGGTCTACAGGAGGTCGTGGTAGACGTTGACCACCTCGCCTGGTCTGCAGGAGGTCGTGGTAGATGTTGACCACCTCGCCTGGTCTACAGGAGGTCGTGGTAGATGTTGACCACCTCGCCTGGTCTACAGGAGGTCGTGGTAGACGTTGACCACCTCGCCTGGTCTACAGGAGGTCGTGGTAGACGTTGACCACCTCGCCTGGTCTACAGGGGGTCGTGGTAGATGTTGACTACCTCGCCTGGTCTACAGGAGGTCATGGTAGATGTTGACCACCTCGCCTGGTCTACAGGGGGTCGTGGTAGATGTTGACTACCTCGCCTGGTCTACAGGAGGTCATGGTAGACGTTGACCACCTCGCCTGGTCTACAGGGGGTCGTGGTAGATGTTGACCACCTCGCCTGGTCTACAGGAGGTCATGGTAGATGTTGACCACCTCGCCTGGTCTACAGGAGGTCGCGGTAGATGTTGACTACCTCGCCTGGTCCACAGGGGGTCGTGGTAGATGTTGACCACCTCACCTGGTCTACAGGAAGTCGTGGTAGATGTTGACTACCTCGCCTGGTCCACAGGAGGTCGTGGTAGATGTTGACTACCTCGCCTGGTCCACAGGAGGTCGTGGTAGATGTTGACTACCTCGCCTGGTCCACAGGAGGTCGTGGTAGATGTTGACTACCTCGCCTGGTCTACAGGTGGTCGTGGTAGACGTTGACTACCTCGCCTGGTCCACAGGAGGTCGTGGTAGATGTTGACTACCTCGCCTGGTCCACAGGAGGTCGTGGTAGATGTTGACTACCTCGCCTGGTCCACAGGAGGTCGTGGTAGACGTTGACTACCTCGCCTGGTCTACAGGAGGTCGTGGTAGACGTTGACCACCTCGCCTGGTCTACAGGAGGTCGTGGTAGATGTTTACCACCTCGCCTGGTCTACAGGAGGTCGTGGTAGATGTTTACCACCTCGCCTGGTCTACAGGAGGTCGTGGTAGACGTTGACCACCTCGCCTGGTCTACAGGAGGTCGTGGATTCGATCCTGGACCATGATATGTCTGTCTGTGTCTTTGTCTATGTGTGAGTGAGTGGATGATTGAGTGGATTAGTTTGTGAGTGGGTGAGTGAGTGAGTGGGTGAGTGAGTGAGTGGATTAGTGTGTGAGTATCTGTGTGTCTCTGTGTGTCTGTCTGCGTGTGTGTGTCTGTGTGTGTGTGTGTGTCTGTGTGTGTGTGTGTGTCTGTGTGTGTGTGTGTCACTGTGTCTCTGTGTGTGTGTGTCTGTGTGTGTGACTGTGTGTGTCTGTGTGTGTGTCTCTGTGTGTGTGTGTGACTGTGTGTGTGTGTCTCTGTGTGTGTGTGTGTGTCTGTGTGTGTGTGTGTCTGTGTGTGTGTCTGTGTGTGTCTGTGTGTGTGTGTGTCTGTGTGTGTCTGTGTGTGTGTGTGACTGTGTGTGTGTGTGACTGTGTGTGTGTGTGACTGTGTGTGTGTGACTGTGTGTGTCTGTGTGTGTGTGTGTCTGTGTGTGTCTGTGTGTGTGTGTGACTGTGTGTGTGTGTGACTGTGTGTGTGTGTGACTGTGTGTGTGTCTGTGTGTGTGACTGTGTGTGTCTGTGTGTGTCTGTGTGTGTGTGACTGTGTGTGTGTGTGTGTGTGTGTGACTGTGTGTGTGTCTGTGTGTGTGACTGTGTGTGTGACTGTGTGTGTGTCTGTGTGTGTCTGTGTGTGTGTGTGACTGTGTGTGTGTGTGACTGTGTGTGTGTCTGTGTGTGTGACTGTGTGTGTGACTGTGTGTGTGACTGTGTGTGTGTCTGTGTGTGTGACTGTGTGTGTGTGTGACTGTGTGTGTGACTGTGTGTGTGACTGTGTGTGTGTGTGACTGTGTGTGTGACTGTGTGTGTGTGTGACTGTGTGTGTGACTGTGTGTGACTGTGTGTGTCTGTGTGTGTGACTGTGTGTGTGTGTCACAGAACTGCTTCTACTACTGGGGCTTCGCTGCTTACCTGGCCTACTACATCAACCATCCTCTGTACAGCCCCCCCAGTGAGTGCCAGGCTAGGTGCACCACATGGTCACGGGACAGACCCAGCAGGTGCCATGGGTTGACTGCTGTGCCAGGTTAGGTGCACCAGGTGGTCACGGGACAGACCCAGCAGGTGCCATGGGTTGACTGCTGTGCCAGGCTAGGTGCAGGAGGAGGAGGTCACGGGACAGACCCAGCAGGTGCCATGGGTTGACTGCTGTGCCAGGTTAGGTGCACCAGGTGGTCACGGGACAGACCCAGCAGGTGCCATGGGTTGACTGCTGTGCCAGGCTAGGTGCAGGAGGAGGAGGTCACGGGACAGACCCAGCAGGTGCCATTGGTTGACTGCTGTACCAGGCTAGGTGCATGAGGTCACGGGGCAGACCCAGCAGGTGCCATGGGTTGGCTGCTGTGCCAGGCTAACTGTGCCAACTTACTGTGCTTTAGCCACCCGGCGCTCTGCTCGTTGTTGTGAGCGTCGCTCCTCCGCCCTCCGTTGTTGCTGGAGGGCGACTGCCTCCAACTGCCCAGTAGCGTCCTTCACGAGCCTCCTCCACTGAGGCCGATCTTGACACCGCTGGTACCAGTCATCGGCAAGTCCACTCAGCTCCACGTCCTTCTGTACCACATCACTCCATCTCTTCTCTAGCCCGTGTCACTCACCCACTCACTCACCCAGTTACCCACCCACTCACTCACCCACTTACTCACCCACTCACTCACCCACTCACTCACCCACTCACTCACCCACTCACTCACCCACTTACTCACCCACTCACTCACCCACTCACTCACCCACTCACTCACCCACTTACTCACCCACTCACTCACCCACTCACTCACCTACTTACTCACCCACTCACCCACTCACTCACTCACCCACCCACCTACTCACCAACCCACCCACCCATCACTCCATCTCTTCTCTAGCCCGTGCCGTGCCCGTTTAGCCCCCTCGATCCGGCCGAACAAAAGCTGTTTAGGCATGCGGTGACTGGGCATGCGGGCTACATGACCCAGCCACCGCAGCCTTGCCTGCCGGAGGAGCTCACCAATGGGACTTTGTCCAGATCAGACTTTGTGCAGGTCAGACTTTGTCCAGAGACACACACACACACAGACACACACAGACACGCAGACACATGCTATTGTGTGTCTGTGTGTGTCTGTATGTATGTGTGTCTGTTTGTGTGTGTGTGTCTATGTGTGTGTGTCTGTGTGTCTGTGTGTGTGACTGTGTGTGTGTGTGCCTGTGTGTGTGTGTGTCTGTGTGTGTGTGTCTGTGTGTGTGTCTGTGTGTGTGTGTCTGTGTGTGTGTCTGTGTGTGTGTCTGTGTGTGTGTGTGTCTGTGTGTGTGTCTGTGTGTGTGTCTGTGTGTGTGTCTGTGTGTGTGTGTGTCTGTGTGTGTGTCTGTGTGTGTGTGTGTCTGTGTGTGTGTGTGCAGTGTACAAGGAGAAGCAGGTCTTCCTGGGTTTCATCACATTCCTGGTGAGTTCCTCGCCAGCAGCAGGCAAAATGAGCCCAGCGTCAAAACAACCACAACACCATCACCACCATCACCACCATCACCACCACCATCACCACCACCATCACCACCATCACCACCATCACCACCATCACCACCATCATCACCACCATCATCACCACCACCACCACCATCATCATCATCACCATCACCACCACCAGCATCACCACCATCATCACCACCACCATCACCACCACCATCACCACCATCACCACCACCATCACCACCACCATCACCACCATCCCCACCATCACCACCACCACCATCACCACCATCACCACCATTAACGTCGCCTTGCCGGGCACACTGAGGAGAGGCTTGCGGAGCCCCAATGCGGTTTCAGGAAAGGGCGGTCCTGCACAGATGCCATTTTTCTGTCCGTCTGCTACAGCAGAAGTGTAGGGAATTCCAACAAGACCTACATCTCTGCTTTATTGACCTGGTCAAGGCCTACGATACCATCAGTAGGCCTGGGCTCTGGATTATTCTTCATGCTTTCGGAGTCCCTGACCCTCTGCTCACGATCATTAAGGGCCTTCATGATGGTGAGCGGGCCCGGGTAAAACTACGTGGCCAGGAGTCGGAGCCTTTCCCTGTACACCTTGGGGTGCGACAGGGATGTCCTCTGGCTCCCGCATTAACATCTTTTTCAACCACGTAGTTCGTGAAGCCTTCTGTGGCTGTACCGGAGGAATCTCCATCTGGTACAGATGCAACGGGAGGCTGATGGATGCCCGGGTGCAGTCAAGGGATGGCTCCCTGTTGGTCAACCACGTTATGTATGCCGATGATCTGGTAATTGCTGCTCACTCAGAGGAGTTGGAGACGCTGCTGCTGAGACTGGAGCGTGCCACTAAGAGGTGGGGCCTTACCATCAGCCCCACCAAAACTAGGTGGTTGCATCAGCCAGTCATCTCGGTCATCTCGGTCAGTCGACCCGTGGCACCTGCTGGGTCTGCCCCGTGACCTCCTCCTGCCAGCGGGCGTTCGACACTTCACGTGGTAGCCTCAAGGTGCACATGGCCTGGCACAAGCGTCGTGGTGACATCACCGCCACTTAGTGGCGAATGGCGGTTGTTGTTGTTGTGCGTGCTACGAACAGCACTTGCCCGTGCCCACTCCTGTTGAAGGCTACCTGGGTGATCTTTGTCTGTATCTCTTCACAGATTTGTGAGTTGGGAAACTTTTCAATCCACCTGGCACTGAGAAACCTCCGCCCGGCTGGTGAGACTTTGACACGTGATGGTGATGGTGGTGATGGTGGTGATGGTGGTGGTGATGGTGATGGTGGTGATGGTGGTGATGATGGTGGTGGTGATGGTGGTGATGGTGGTGATGATGGTGGTGGTGGCTACACGGGTGACTTTTGTCTTTGTGTTAGTTGATGGGTGAGTGAGTTGGTGAGTGAATGTGAGTGAGTGGGTGGGTGAGTGTGAGTGGGTGGGTGAGTGTGAGTGAGTGTAAGTGAGTGTGTGTGTGTCAGTGTGTGTCAGTGTGAGTGTGTAGGCACTGCTGCTGCTGCTACTACTAACAGCACTTGCCCCGACAGTCCGTTAGAGGCTACACGGTTGACCTTTGTCTGTGTGGCGCAGGATCTAAGGCTCGCAAGATCCCATACCCCACGAGGAATCCATTCACCTGGCTGTTCAAGCTCGTGTCCTGCCCCAACTACACATACGAGGTGTGGACACACACACACACAGACACACAGATACACACACATACAGACACACAGACACACACACACAGACACACAACAACAACAACAACAACCGCCATTCGCCACTAAGTGGCGGTGACGTCACCACGATGCTTGTGCCAGGCCAAGTGCACCTTGAGGCCACGTGAAGTGTCGAAAGCCCGCTGGCAGGAGGTCACGGGGCAGACCCAGGTGCCACGGGTCGACTGACCGAGATGACCGAGATGACTGGCTGATGCACCACCTGTGCCCCCTACTGTGCCAACTTGCTGTGCTTTAGCCACCCGGCGCTCCGCTCGTTGTTGTGAGCGTCGCTCCTCCGCCCTCCGTTGTTGTTGGAGGGCGACTGCCTCCAACTGCCCAGTAGCGTCCTTCACGAGCCTCCTCCACTGAGGCCGATCTTGACACCGCTGGTACCGGTCATCGGCAAGTCCACTCAGCTCCACGTCCTCCTGTACCACATCACTCCATCTCTTCTCCAGCCCGTGCCGCGCCCGTCTAGCCCCCTCGATCCGGCCGAACAAAAGCTGTTTAGGCATGCGGTGGCTGGGCATGCGGGCTACATGACCCAGCCAACGCAGCCTTGCCTGCCGGAGGAGCTCACTGATGGGACTTTGCCCAGATCTTTCAAGGATTTGTGAGCTCCTCACACAATCCAGCCTGGTTAAACCCAGGATGGATCGTAGGCAGGCCAGCCTAAATGTTTCCAACCGGCGAAGATGCTCCACCAGGGGGGTCCACGTCTCGCAAGCGTAGAGAAGGGAGGGAATGACCGTGGCCGAGAAGACCTGAAGCTTCGTGCGGAGCGACAGACCAGGTAGCTTCCACACAGCGTTACGCAACCGATGAAAAGATATTGCCGCTCGACTGATTCGGAGTGAGACCTCTGCTGATAGACTGGAGCCGGTCATAAGCACACTGCCCAGGTATGGGAAACTCTCCACTCTCTCCACAACTGCCCCATCACCAATTGGGAGTTGTGGGGGTGGAGTGTCCGATGGTACAAAATACCCAGGCAGGTGCCTGGTTTTGGTGGGGCTGATGGTAAGGCCCCACCTCTTAGTGGCACGCTCCAGTCTCAGCAGCAGCGCCTCCAACTCCTCTTCTGAATGAGCAGCTATTACCAAATCATCGGCATACATAACGTGGTTGACCAATAGGGAGCCATCCCTTGATCGCACCCGGGCGTCGATCAGCCTCCCATTATATCTGTACCAAACGGAAATTCCCCCGGTACAGCTATTGAAGGCTTCACGAACTACGCGGTCAAAATAGATGTTAAATAATGTGGGAGCCAGAGGACATCCCTGTCGCACCCCAAGGTGTACAGGGAAAGGCTCCGACTCCCGGCCACGTAGTTTTACCCGGGCCCGCTCACCATCATGAAGGTCCTTAATGATCGTGAGCAGAGGGTCAGGGACTCCGAAAGCACGAAGAACAACCCAGAGTCCAGTCCTACTGATGGTATCATAGGCCTTGACCAGGTCAATAAAGCAGAGATGTAGGTCTTTTTGGAATTCCCTACACCTCTGCTGTAGCAGACGGACAGAAAATATGGCATCTGTGCAGGACCGCCCTTTCCTGAAACCGCATTGACACACACACACAGACACACACACACAGACACACACACAGACACACACACAGACACACACACACAGAAACACACACACAGAAACACACACACAGACACACACACAGACACACACACAGACACAGACACACACACAGACACACACAGACACACACACACAGACACACAGACACAGACACACACACAGACACACACACACAGACACACACACACACAGACACACACATAGACACACACACACAGAGACACACACACACACATAGACACAGACACAGACACACACACACAGACACACACACAGACACACACACAGACACAGACACACACACAGACACACACACAGACACACACACAGACACAGACACACACAGACACACACACAGACACACACAGACACACACAGACACACACGCACAGACACGCACACACACACGCAGACACACGCAGACACACACACACAGTGACACACACACACCCACCCACTCACCCACCCACTCACTCACTCACCCACTCACTCGCCCACTCACCCACTCACCCATCCACCCACTCACCCATCCACCCACTCACCCACCCAAACTCACCCATCCACCCACCCAAACTCACCCATCCACCCACCCACCCACTCACTCACCATCCACCCACCCACTCACTCACCCACCAATCCACCCACTCACGCACCCACCCACCCACCCACTCACCCACCCACCCACCCACTCACCCACCCACCCACCCACTCACCCACCCACCCACCCACCCACTCACCCACCCACCCACCCACCCACTCACCCACCCACCCACCCACTCACCCACCCACCCACCCACTCACCCACCCACCCACTCACCAATCCACCCACTCACTCACTCACCAACCCACTCACCACCCACCCACCCACTCACCACCCACCCACCCACTCACCAACCCCCCCACCCACCCACTCACCAACCCCCCCACCCATCCACCCACCCACCCACCCACTCACCAATCCACCCACCCACTCACCAATCCACCCACTCACCCACCCACTCACCCACTCACTCACCACCCACTCACCCACTCACTCACCACCCACCCACCCACTCACCCACCCACCCACCCACACGCACACAGACAAAGCTTCCTCCCCCCCGGCGTAGCCTGTCACAGACTGTTGGGGCAAGTGCTGTTGGCCAGGGCACATCCAGCTGATTCTGTTCTTCTCTGTGTCCTTGCTGCTGTGTTCAGGTTGGGGCCTGGCTCAGCTTCACCATCATGACCCAGACACTCGCAGGTGAGAGCTCCAATCCCTGGACCCTGACAATGGTTGTAGCCATGATGGCTAGGGGAGATGTTGACTACCTCGCTTGGTACACAGGAGGCCGTGGGTTCGACCTCTGGACCGTGTAGCAACGGTGGCCAAGGGAGATGTTGACTGCCTCGCCTGGTACGCAGGAGGTCGTGGGTTCAATCCCTGGTCCCTGACGATGGCTGTAGCCATGATGCCTAGGGAGATGTTGACTACCTCGCCTGGTACGCAGGAGGCCGTGGGTTCGATCCCTGGTCCCTGTAGCGACGGTGGCCAGGGGAGATGTTGACTACCTCGCCTGGTACGCAGGAGGTCGTGGGTTCGATTGTTGATCTAGACTGGGTAGGCCTGGGGGAGATGTTGACTACCTCGCCTGGTCTACAGGTGATCAATCACTCATCCATCATCACGGAGGCTAGGGGAGATGTTGACTACCTTGCTTGGTACGCAGGAGGTCGTGGGTTCGATCGCCCGGACCCTGTAGCGACGGTTGCCAGGGGAGATGTTGACTACCTCGCCGATGATGTTGTTGCTGATGATGATGCTGTTCCTGCTGCTGATGATGATGTTGATGTTCCTGCTGCTGATGATGATGCTACTGATGATGTTGATGTTCCTGCTGCTGATGATGATGCTACTGATGATGTTGATGTTCCTGCTGCTGATGATGATGTTATTACTACTGATGATGCTACTGATGCTGCTGGTGTTACTGATGATGCTACTGATGATGATGATGTTGATGTTCCTGCCGATGATGATGATGTTATTACTCCTGATGATGCCACTGATGATGCTGATGCTGCTGATGATGTTATTGATGCTGCTGCTGCTGATGATGATGTTAAATTGTCTCCCACCAGGAGCTCTCTTCACCCTTGTCGGCTTCCTGCAAATGTCGGTGTGGGCACTCGGCAAACACCGCAGCTACAAGCGCGACTTCAGCCCCCAGTACCCACGCGTGCGAACCGCCATTCTGCCCTTCCTGCTCTAGGCCAGAGGCCTGTCCCGCTACGTCTAGACCAGGTCTCCCGCTACGTCTAGACCAGGTCTCCCGCTACGTCTAGACCCCAGGTCTCCCTCTGCGTCTCTGTCTCTGTCTCTCTGTCTCTATTCTCCCCTTCCTGCTCTAGGCCAGAGGCCTCTCCCGCTACGTCTAGACCCCAGGTCTCCCGCTACGTCTAGACCCCAGGTCTCCCGCTACATCTAGACCAGGTCTCCCGCTACGTCTAGACCAGGTCTCCCGCTACGTCTAGACCCCAGGTCTCTGTGTCTCTGTGTGTCTCTCTGTCTCTGTGTGTCTCTGTGTCTCTATCCTCCCCTTCCTGCTCTAGGCTAGAGGCCTGTCCCACTACGTCTAGACCCCAGGTCTTCCCCGCGACTCTAGACCAGATTTGTATACAGAGTCGTACATTTTCATTTTCTGTAAATCGAGACATCTTTGTCTCTCTGTCTCAGTTTCTCTGTGTGTCTGTCTCTGTCTCTGTGTGTCTCTCTGTGTCTCTCTCTGTCTCTGTGTCTCTGTTTCTCTCAGTCTCTCTCTGTCCCTGTCTCTCTCTGTCTCTCCCTGAGTCTCTGTGTCTCTCTCTCTCTGTCTCTCTCGCTGTCTGTCTCTCTGCGTGTGTGTGTTGGGTGATTCAAATAAACATGCATCTTAGAATGTCCGCAATCCGTTTCGCTTTCATTTTTGTAACTCTACAACTGTAATGCGAGCGTACGCTGGTGTACCGCCGGTTGGTGGGGGTGGCCTTCTCAGCCTCAGCGCCAACCAGGCGAGTTTAAAACGTGAGCTGACCACTACAGCACCCCCCCCCAGGTGTTTCAAACGTGAGCTGACCACTACAGCTACCCCCCCCCCCCAGACCGCTCGATGTTTAAAACGTGAGCTGTTTACTACAGCACCCCCCCCCCCAGACCGCTCGGTGTTTAAAACGTGAGCTGACCACTACAGCACCCCCCCTCCCAGGTGTTTAACACGTGAGTTGACCACTACAGCACCCCCCCCCAGGTGTTTAACATGCGAGCCGACCACTTCAGGCGCTCTTTGCACACAAAATAGCCGTATGAACATGCACCCCTACCCTCCTGTGGACCCGGCCTCAATCCGCCGTGCAAACAGATGCTAATGCTAGCGGGAAGGGGGGCGGCTGGGACAGGGCTGTACGAATACGCACCCCTACTGATGCTACACGAAAAGATGACTTGCAGCAGGATCTTGTGTGTAAACGCGCCGCTTAAAGCGCGCTGTGCAAGCAAGCACAAGTGTCGCCGGCTCTGTGTGCTGCAGTAAACGCGCCTCATGCACACGCTCAAAATCACTCGCAAACCGTCGCGGTCGTAGATGGTAATCTACACGCACACCAGCCCCGCGCGCTCTCTATCACCCCTCCCCCCAGCACGCACGCAGTCGCTCCACTCAGAAATCACAGACACCACGCTGAAGTTCACCCACACAACACACACAGAAATCACAGGACACCGATCTTCTGAACGCAAGTTTATTAATGGCGCGTCTAAAGAAAGCCCCATGTGCGTGGCCCGGAGTAAATATTCTACGAGCAGCGCCTACCCTATCCCTCTTTAGTCCCTGGGTGTGTACCCCCCACTCTACTTGTCTCGCAGACGCACTGACGCTGTGAGAGTCGGAAGGACGACGATCCAGAGTTCGCAAACGGGTTTTTGATTCCTTACCCGTACCCTACCTGCTACCTGGCTACCTATACCCGGCCGGGTATCGGGTAGGGTATCGGGTACCCGATTGCGACCTCTGGGATGAAGCCATGTTTCAGGCGCGGGTGGGTTGATTCTAGGAACTTGAATTGTGAGAAGAGACAAGACGTTGGGAAATGAGTGACAAACGGTGACTCACCAGTGACTCACGGTCTACCCGTACCTGGCCGCACCAGGGTCGCAAACGGGTACCCATACCCGGCCAGGTAGCCGGGTAGGGTATCGGGTACCCGGTTGCGACCTGTTTTATGCCCTCAGAATCCAAAGAGCCAGGGTCACGTGGTGATTTTAAACCGATGCCCCCACCCCGCCCCTACACGTTGCTTTCCATTACGCTTCGATCCATTGTCAACCGGTTTGATCGGAGTGGCCGTCCCACGGAATACGCATCTGCAGTGGGTCCAGGAAGTTCCCTCCCACCTCCTCTTACGCGCTGCCCGTAGAGTGTTTGCCCTCGAGGCCCCGTGTCCCTGTGCCGTGTCTCATTGCGGTTAGCCCGGCGAGCTTTATCGCGCCCATACAACTTTAAGCCAATTCACGGGGGCCGCAATGCAATTTGGCCTGGGGGGGGGACGGCCAATTTCCTGGCACTGGGAAACCGTGGGACATCCCCGATAGGGGCCCCTCGGGTAAAAACCCAGGGTACCAGGTGACCCCCCCACGAGACCCTACGTGGGTGTGTGCGTGTGTTTAGTGGGGGTGTGCATGTGTGTGTGTGTTTAGTGTGCGCGTGTTTAGTGGGGGTGTGCGTGCGTTCGTGTGGAGGGGTGCGAGGAGATGGAGGCGCCAGCTGACTTGCTCCGTTGCCGTGGCACCACAGTTGCCCCTAGCAACGCACACACATCGCGCAAAATTTTCATTCGCGTTAACAATGTTTACAAAATATACACACAGCGTCGAGGTTCATTCTTCACAGTCTTATGTCATCTTCTCCCCCCCCCCACCCACCAAAATGCGTGCAGTTACTGCGATAAAGTCCGTAGATATTAATATTAGAGCACTCAGCATTACACAGGTCAACAACAACAAAAATTATGGCCTGGACTTTTGCAGCTGTTCCAGACTAATTTCAGGGTGCCGATTCCAAATCTGATTTGCTCAGATTTGCTCTATCACATCTCATTTTTATGCTATCGGCATTCCCCATTTTCATTGATTTTACCCGAAATTAACTCTGTCACTTATGATTGCAAGTTGTTGCGAGTCAGTGACTGCTTTAGAATGGTGTGTTTATAATATAATTTTACTGGTAGGAACGAAGTGAACCAGCCTACAATAGATTATATCGTCCGTCCGTGTAGCAACATCGCCCCCTACTGCAAACACTTGGCAGGACCCTACAAAAACCTTTAGACTCGGTGACGCTTTCCTGGCTAAACAAGTGTAACATTCCCTTATAATTCCCTGAGATAGCTTTTAATTAAAATATTTAAATTAAAAAATAACTCACAGCGGCCTAAAGCCTACAGCTAGGCCTAAAGCCTAGAACTAGGCCTCAAACTCTCCCTTCGTATCGTACCCCCGCGTGTGTGAAAGGGAGTTAATGTTTAACAATGTTACATTCCCTGATGTTTTTTTTTTAAATAGAAACATTTACATTTAAAGCTTTAACATTAATAATTAAAACATTTAAATTAAAAAAATTAACTCACAGCAGCCTAAAGCCTACACAGCTAGGCCTAAAGCCTAGAACTAGGCCTCAAACTCTCCCTTCATATTGTACCCCCGCATGTGTGAAAGGGAGTTAATGTTTAACAATGTTACATTCCCTGATGTTTTTTTTTTAATAGAAACGTTTACATTTAAAGCGTTTACATTAATAATTAAAACATTTAAATTAAAAATTAACTCACAGCGGCCTAAAGCCTACAGCTAGACCTAAAGCCTAGAACTAGGCCTCAAACTCTCCCTTCGTATTGTCCGATTAGGTGTAGCAACATTGCCCCCTACTGCAAACACTTGGCAGGACCCTACAAAAACCTTTACACTCAGTGAGGCTTTCCTGGCTAAACAAGTGTAATAATACATTATGTTTATATTCTTTGGTTATTCGTTCCTACCAGCCCACCCCGCAGGGACATGTTATGTAGATATCCACATTTATTTAATATTTTTCTTCTGCAGTTATTGAAAATGCAATATTTGATAGCTCAAAAACCTGATGTGACGGACAAAAACTGATGGCAGATTTGGAATCAGCACCCCCAAATTTACCTTAAAACCGTTGGAATACCTTATGCCAGAAAAAGTGTGTTGACAAGTGTTATTGCAGCGTGGGTGGGGGGAGCGACCCAGTCCCCCAGCCTGGCAACGTGCCACCTCCCCCGGCTGGGCAATCTAGGCAAGGCCGTGGGCTCTGCACGGGACTAGGCCTCACCACGGCAATGTAAAGTACAATTTTTTTGCTTCTTTCGCTCAGAACTCGCGTAGATAGGTCATATTCTTGATTCTTTTGGTAAAATCACGTGATGACCTCATTAGGCTCATTACGACTAAGGAAGGCGAACGCAAAGCCTGAAGTAGTCGTTGATAATGCGAATGGCAACGGCGTTTTAACTTTACCAGGTGTCCCGTTAACGGCCTGGATTCTCCCGACGATGCCCCAGACATCTGCACGCCCTCCACTCCGCTTGCGCAACACGAAGCCGCGTGGAGTTGAACCGAGACATCGAGACGCAGACCTGGCTCCCTGTCCCGTCACTGCCTGGGATCTCTGCCCCGTTGGGGCTTCCTTGGTTTGGAGCTGTACCGAGATGTTTGACGTTTGAGTGAGAGTAGACCAGGGAGAGGTTTCTGGAAAATAAACCGTTAGGACACCCACCCCCCCAACCCACCCCCAGCTGCGATGCGAACGCAGTAGCAACGTCTGTAGTAAAAACAAACTTGAACAGGTGGCAAAAGAGTCGCGCTGTTACCAGGTTCCATGGAAACTGCCTGGAGACGCCCCAGACGCCCTCACGCCCTTCACCCCTCCGCTGTTCCGTGCGCGACCGACGCCAAAGGGTGTCCCCGAGTTGAAACCAAGAGACGTCATGACGCAAGACTGGTGGGGCTCCCCTTCCTGTCACTGCCTGGGATCTCTGCCCTGTTGGGGTTTCCTTTCTTTAAGAGCTGTACCGAGATGTTCGATGTGTGAGAGTAGACCAGGGAGAGGATTCTGGAAGACAGAACGTGAGACACCCCCCCCCCCCCCCCCACAAACACAAGGCCTGTAGCAGCAGTAGCAGCGAGGCAAATGTGAACGTCAAAGTGTTGACGGTGTTACCGGGTCCCGTTAACCGCCTGGAATGGCCGATGACAGAGGAGCAATTTGCGCTTCCTTCCCTGTTGCTCTCCCCCCTTGTACGATGTCGCGAGGTTGCTTGGGAGTTGCACAGAGAACACGTGGAGTTGCACTGAAGTTGCGAGGAGTTGGAGCAAGGTTGCGTGAAGGTGTTCTGAGGTTACGTAGAGTTGCAGCGAGGTAACGTGGAGTTGGATTGAGGTTGTGTGGAGGAGTTGGAGCAAGGTTCAATGAAATTGTTCTGAGGTTACGTGGAGTTGGACCGAGTTGCCTGGAGTTGCAGCGAGGTTGTGTGGAGTTGCACTGAGGAAGTTGCGTGGAGTCGAACGAGACGTCTGCGCTAGGCACAACTGCTGGGGTCCTGTAACATAGAACGTTAGAGACCCCCCCCCTCCCCCATACAAACACAAGGCCTGTAGTAGTAGCAGCAAGGCAAATTCAAACGCACGGCCAAAGGAGTTGCGGTGTTACCAGGAGGTCCGCTAACTGCCCGTATCCACCGCCGATTCGACCGTTTGCTCTTCCTGCCTCTGCATTTGAACCGAGACATCGAGACGCAGACCTGGCTCCCTGTCCCCTCACTGCCTGGGGTCTCT